AACCCTAACCATAAGCCTACTAAGGAGTAGATAATTTCTCTTCTTTTCCAATGTGGGACTCAAGTTCGTGTATTTCAATCAAACTCCAACAAGCAGTTGGTATTATCGAATCACGTTGTGACTTGGATTTAAGTTTCGAGGCTAAAATCCATTTTTTGAATACTAAAATATTTTGGGTACTAAAACTAAATTTCTAGGATTCTTATTAAAATATTTAATGCTAATTATTTGCTCAAGAAATAATAATTAAAACGTAATCACTAATGAAAGTATTTAAACAAGGCTAAGATATTATTTAATGAATAAAAAAGAATGTTTTAAAAGTGTAGCCGCCCGGCTATACCCTTTGAATAGCGTAATCTTCATTTCTCTTTTTTCATTACTATTTACTTACTGAATAATTAGTATTTAAATATTTGATTAAATAAAAATAATAATTACCATTTATTAAGTTAATTAAAATATTTAATTATTATTCACTAAAGAAATAATAATTAAATTAATTACTAAAAAGAAAATTTATTGAACCTAAAAGATACTAAATTTATATTTATTTTCAAATAAAATCTCTCCCGACAAAAGTTCGTCGGCACAGGTATAAGACTTGCCCCGACGAAATGTCGTCGCAAGAACTCTAATCCGATGAATTTTCGCCGGGATAGACCTTTGCCGACGCAATTTCGTCGGGAGAGGTTTTCTTGCCTCTTTTTTTTTTTTGAAAATTAATTATTATTGTTTATTTTAAACATGTAAAATTAGTTTCTTTAATTCTATTTTTTGGCCAACTTCTTTAGTTTAATATATGTAATTAAGCAATACCATAGCCTTTTTTTAATTACTTTAATTGGTAATTATGTTTAATTATTATTTCTTCAGCGAATATTTAAATATTTTGCTCATTTCATAAAATACTTAAGTATGGACTTTGTTTTCCCAAAATTAGTTTGGGTAAATCCAAGTCTCGAATCAAAAACCCTAGCTTCTAAAATTTTTCCCAAACCTTTCTTAAGCCTCCAACCCTAACCATAAGCCTACTAAGGAGTAGATACTTTCTCTTACTAGCGACCGCCTAGCGACGGCCTTTTGAGGAAGAAGATGGAGGGCCAGGGGGCTCCCAAGCCATGCCTGAAATCGATTACAAGTCTTGGAATTTACCTGATAATGAATCTATCTCACTTTTTCTTCGCTTCTTGAAGCAGATGATGCAGGGTAAGGCCTCCCAAGCCTGCCACATCATCCCTGAAATTGATGTCTGCAAGTACGAGCCTTCGGATTTAGCTGGTAATCCATTAATCTATCTCACTTTTGCTTCACTACCCATTTTCTCATTTCCAAGATATGATTTTTATGCATGCATAATCTTGATCAATTGTTCTTTTGAAGTGTTGAACTGTTGTTATGTACTTGGGACTTACCTGACATAATCCATTTATCTATCTCACTTTTTCTTGACTACCCATTTTCTCATTTCCAATTTAAAATTTCTACGTATACATAATTTTGTTCAGTAATTTAGTTGAATTCTGTTATTCATTACTTCGAGACTTGAATTGGGTTTGTTTCAATATCTTGTTTTGTGTTGCGTTTTGCAGAACTCTTGTTCCCCGACTCTCCATATCAACCTAGGATGTGGTTTTCCTTCAGCCGACCTCATTACAAATCCATCAACAGTCTTCGTTACAACAGGGCCGCAAAGAAGGGAAAATCACAGGCAAGCCACAAAGTAGTGATACTAAAGAAATAATAATTAAATAAGTCTAAGATATTATTTAATTACTAAAATGAAAATTTATTGGACCTAAAAGATACTATATTTATATTTAATTTTAAATAAAATCTCTCCCGACAAAATTTCGTCGGCACAGGTATAAGACTTGCCCCGACGAAATTACCTCTACCGACGAAATGTCGTCACAAGAACTCTAATCCGATGAATTTTCGCCGGGATAGACTTTTGCCGACGAAATTTCGTCGCGAGAGGTTTTCTTGCCTTTTTTTTTTTCTTTTTTTTATAAATTAATTATTATTGTTTCCTTTGTTAGTCCCCTTTTCTCTTTCCAAGACTTGATGCTGTGTGCTCCTTTTTTAGGTAAAGATGCCCCAGGATGCATCAAGCAGCACTGTTCGTGACACTAGAGGGCTTTTGATTCAGTTGTGAAGAATGTTTGTTTTTCATTCACAATAGCTCATACAATATTATTTGAGGGAAAAATATGTTTAATGTCCTCTCTCCAGAGAGAAGGCTTCATTCCTCCATCCGTCGTGGGTAACTTTCAGATGATCTTAGGCATAGGATTTTCTTTAGGAAGCAATGTGAAGTAGGGATGAAATCTATTGACTGCTGTTAAGATATCAATTTGAAGGTATCATTATGGACGTTTATACTGAACTAAATCTATCAGTTAAAGTTTCAATTAGTATCTCATTTCCCGGCATAAAGAAACTCAATCTTGCTTATCTTTTCTAGAGATGGGATTCATTTATCTGCTGAAGGGAGCAAAATAGCGGTGGAAGAGATACTGAAGGTACTGAGGGAAGCTGACTGGAAGCCAAGCTTACACTGGAAATCCATGCCATTAGAATTTGCAGAGGATTCACCATATGATCTTGTTGCTGCTGATGGAAAGACAACATTAAATCCCTCCAGCTGGACATTTTATAGGGTGATTCAGTGGGACTAGTTTTGAGAGTAAATGTTCCACCTGTGCTTGAATAGAAGATTGAAGTATCTATTGTTGCATGGAACACTGTACTAATGAAAGAGCCAAAAAAAAAATTGAAGAAAAAAAGAAGAGTGGATGTGGTGAAGGGTCCATGAATTTTATTTTTTAATTTCATTTTGCAATTGTTTCTAGTAGCCTCATTGTTAGCTATAATTTAGTAAAATACTTCGTTTGTAAACTTTGGCCTTTCTCCATCGTTTAACACATTGATAATTGTTTCTAGTAGTCGTGCGGCTATACTCTGTGAATATATTCTATTATTTAAAAAGTATAGCCGCTTGACTATACTCTTTAAATATATTTGAATATTTTAATGATGCCAGTGCTACTAGAGAATAGTGATTTTCATAATTCTAATTTTTCTAATTTTTCTATTTTTTTTCTTGCTGGTGAATTCTATTTAATTCTTCGGGTCAAATGTGAAGCAACGACATGCATCCCATTCTAGGTAATTCAACAAAATCATGCATCCCACTCCTCTCAACTAATTACTCTAGTATCTGACACCTATTTTCCCTTGCATTACTTACACTTTAGGAATAAAAAATTATGTGAGTTTCATGTTAAAATCCATAATCAAATACCCTTAAAACTAGGAAAACCGATCAACTAGGGGAATAGTTAAGAGATTTTCTATTTAAACCCCAAATTTCTCTTTGTTCACCCAAATACTTAAATCATTAAGCTGTAAGTTTTATTATTGTGTAAAAAGACTAAAAAGGTCATCCAACTTAATATATAACCCTAATACATCTACACACACCCCACACACCCCACACACCCCACCACTCTTCAAATTAAGCTTTAGTACATAGTGTTTCAATGTTTGAAAACCCCACCAATTCTGGATGGCATTCGGAGGTAGAAATCAAATAAGTCATTAATTTAAGCTTGCAGCTTCAATTACTTACATTAGTTTTGTGTGTGAGAGTTTGCTTACCTTTTATTAATAGCTTTTTTAGGTATGTGAGAGTTTGTGAGAGGTTTTTATTCAGAAGAAAGAAACTTAGATTTGGAGTTTGGGTGGATTTATATTCGATTTGAATATGATTGATTGTATTTGTCCGTAATATTTGGTACCTCATTGTATTTGATTGTAAACAGATGGTCTCCTAAACGAGTCAAATGGTCTCAGTACTTAGTCTAATGTTTCAGGAGGAGTTCATGTTGAATTTCTTTTTTTCGAGTACTTGGAATGCATGGATACAACTGAATCCTTTTTTTCTTTTTTTCTTTTTTTCTTTTTTTTCTGTTCCATTCACATGTGTAGATGGTGTCACTTAATTTGGAGAATCTTGCATTTCGTTCCGGTTATTAGTGTCTTTCACATCTCAATCTTTTTCATGGAAGTGGTATCGCAGTTTGAGTTGTTAACGACATGTTGTGGTTCTGAGATTCAAGCAAACTGAGCTATACAAAAGTAGGTCTCATACAGGAGGGATTAGTATTTGAAGACATAAAAGAACTGCACCAATCTTGGTCGAAATCGAATAGCTTGGTCGACACTCATAAAATGACATTTCCTCCTCTAAGTTAAGGCGATGGTGAAGAATGTTCTCTTGATAATGAGGTGGTGATCCTGGGAAAGCAGACAATGAATAAGACTCTGAAATATCATCAAAAAAATTAATTTAATTACTTACTATTTCTCATGCCCAGATCGTACTTCCTTCTCTAAAGGTAGCTTATGGAGTTTAAATAGAAAATCTCTTTTATTTCTTATTTTTTTCAACTTGGGGTGTATTTAAGGGTAGTTTGGAAAGATAGTGGGGTTTTCTTAGAAATTGTGAAAATTTAAATTAAAAGTTGGGATGAACTTATAGAACATGGGGTGAACTAAGAGACGTGTGGGTTTAAATAGAAAATCTCATAGTTAATCCGATTCCAATTTCTTATTCCCTTATTCTTAAATTCCCCGATTCATGACTTTCACCATTCATAGTACATAAACATACTAAATCATTAGGAATCACATCAAATGCAAATTGTAGACAGATTACAATAATGGATAGTAAATTTTTTTATTAAAACAAAAAACCCTTTGGGAACACGTACTATCATTTTTCTATGATTCAAAATGAAACAAATATTGTCTATATTAATATGCAGAATTCAATTCATAAACAAAAATAATAATAAATAAATCAATAAAGAAACCATAAGGTCTTCGTAACTAGACACGTGCTCAGTTAAGTTAATCGGTGTCTGATTCGTAAACGTTTTGCAAAAATGGTACATTGCGTTACACACGAATACCCCCCTCTTCCAATATTTTTGAGTTTCCCTCCTTTTCATTTTTTTTCATTTTTGGATCGTCTTCTTCCCTCCGTTTTAGTTAAATCTCTCTCCTCGGCCACAGATTTCACCCCCAAAAAAGAATAAGGGAAACAAGAACTCAGGTAATTCTGAACTTCTATATCATTAATTTCAACTCTATATCGTCATTTCAGATTGGATTTTAGAGAATTTTAGTTCCATATTATGGCTAGCTATGTGATGCTGTAGATTCATGGTCGGCTTGATCTGATTCTTGCTTTTAAAGTTAGGATTAGTTGGATATGTATGTTTTAACAATGGGGTATTTGTGGGTTTTATCTCTTTTTCTGAGTTTTTAGTCTTTACCCTATACTCGGCCAGACAAAGAAAGAAAATAATTATATATGCTTCTTCTATGAAATCAATAAGGTCTGCTTCTTGCCTGCAACGTGTTTGTCAAAATGCTTCATAGAGTCATAACTTGTTGATATTTGGTATCCTATCAGTTTGAATTGCATAAACAAGAAATCTTGAATCCGTTGGTTCGATATCTCTGTAGAATCCAATTACACATCGTAAACCCAAATGCAACTGTGTCACATAAATATGGGTAATCCTAAGCAATTTAGACCGGTTCAAATACCTTTTATTGAACTACAATGTCAAAATTTTAGCCTTATATTCTATATGTCATTTTGGGTTTTGGTGGCTCATGGATCCGTTGCTGCAGGAGTCTGTCCTGGAGAAGGCAGGGAGCATTGTACGGAAAGTGGGATCTTTTCTGAAAATGGAAAGTTACTATGACATTGATGATATTCTTGTGGAGGGACAGGTTAGTTCCCGTCTCTTTGTATCCTCGAAATCTAAACTCCATTTGCTTTATTTACTTAGTCATTTTAATTCTGTATTCTAAACATGTTTGCTGTTTCCAAGCAGCGTGTCCCAGTTGTTTTCCAGCAAGCAGTAAATGGGGTTGATATTGATCCTAGTGCTGAAACCCATTGTGTAAGTGACCAGAGTGGATTTGGAGTGAATGTTTTTTGTTCAAAGGAGATATTTTCTTATATCTTCTTGGGCCTGTATTTCAGGTTGAACCCGGTTCAAAGGTAGAGCTGCCTTACTGGCTTGCCCATGAGTTACACCTCAGAAAAGTAGCAAAGATGAAGGTTCCTGCATGTTTCAATCAAAGGTAATGATCTGTACAGGTTTATTTAAAAATAATTTATGGCCATTTTTTAGGGCTGAGTTGCAGGGAGATTCATTCTGGCAAGTGGTCATTGATTTTCAGTTATTTCCGTCTTTGAAATCTGATATTCAGACATTTCTTCTTTGCGTTATATTATGTTTTAATTGTCATATCATTGAATTTATTAGTTGGTACTGATTAAACATAGTTGCTGCCAGCCTCCAAGCATGTATTAGATTTTGGGGAAGGCATGAAGAGTGACTTATGTGATTCAAGTTCAAAGTTCAAAATTAGTGATTGGTATTACATATTTAACTCTTGTAGATTTCTTCTTTTGTCAGAACAAAACTGGAACTTGGGGCTGATGGTGCATCTGTGGATTTAAGATCTCAATGTCTATACTTCTATGAATTTGGATGCAAGATAGCACCGCTGTGAGTCTCTCTCCTACCCATTTCTTGTATACATAACTTGATCAGTGTGTTCTTTTTATGCTTTTCTTTGAGTTATCTTCTAATAGATGGATATTTCATATAAATGAACCCTCGTGTGGTAGAGGGTTGATAAAATGGTATATGACAAGACTCCCATTCTGGATAAACTTTTTTCACTGTGAATTGTCATGATCTTGTTCCTTGTCAATTTGAAAATGAAAACTATCCCTGAAGTAATTCAATTTCTCCAACATCATATGTTCATGCTATTGAAAATTCTGGTCAAGGGATATAAAACCCTGAGTTTCTCCTATGAAAGCCAGGTCTATACAATAGATTAATGTGTATATTTGACACACAAGTAAATGAGAAAAATGCCAAAAGCAAAAATAAAAAAAGAAAAACCAATATGTTGAGAATTGGACATTTATTGATTGGCTTGGCACTCTTGGTTTAACATTTGGACCTTCACTTTGTAGACTTGGCCTAGTGTGGTTTATGATCTGGTGGGAGGGTATTTAGTGTTGACTGATGCTTCTTGTCTGAATCCAAAGAAATACAACTGGATGATTTGTTTTCTGTTCTTGTTGGTGGTAAATTGGACACTGAACAATCTGCGCTGTTCACATGTACTATTTGTGGCCAGACAAACTGATTCTAACTAGTTTTTTCTTTATTTTGTTTGAATCATTTGGATGGATAGGGTTAGTGATAGAGACATGGGATCATTCCTATTGTCTGCATTTAGGACCAGGTATCAGAAAATCCTGGCAAAGGCACATAACGCAGCATTTACAGCACATTCAAAATTGCTGTCGTACTTAACAAAAGAAGAAACCAATCGTAAGATTTATATCACCCATGTTTTATCATATCTTTCATCACTGTCTCTCAAACTTCTTCTATATGAATGTTGACTCAAAATGGTTGCACAATTTTTTCTAGTGTATGAGGCAGCTCAGTCGTCAATGGCAGCCTTTAAGAAGTGGCGGATAGGTGGCCCCCGATTTGAGAGAGCTTCTGTACTTGGGAGGAAGAGGAAGGAAGCCAACTGACTAGTTGTATTGTACCCTCTACTCTACCTCCCATCTGATCCATCCTTACTGAATCATTGTCCCAATTTGTAATTTTTCCTACATTGGAAAAGCTAGTTGGTAATTTTGCTGAAAGTTAATGAGATAATTGTAATTTTAATTAAACATCATTATATAAATATTTGCACTTCGCATTACTAGCACGCACCTATTCATTTATCATTTTATCTTTAAGGCAAACAAAAAGTATGAACTTTATTCTTGATTATAATAAGGGAAGAGGAGCATACAAGTCAAGAATTTCTGAAGTAAGAAAATAAAAACGAAAGGCATCGCAGGAAGTGGCTTGGGACGAAAAGAATCAAGAAACCTAAAGCCATGTACAGTAAGTCCACCAAGAGTCAAGAGACCTCGGTCGGGAATTTATAAATACAACCTCACTGCTCTGCTGCCTCTTCTCTGAAGCCAAAACATTTGATTATAATCTTATTCCAATTTTCCAAAACAGTTGAATTGAAGGAGGGATGAGAAGCAGTAGCAGCACAACAACAACAGAAGCATGGGTGCTGGACTTGCTGCCTGAGTTCAGATTCCGTCCCTCTGATGAGAAAATGGTGAACCTTTTGTGGAAGAAGATAAATGGCAAGGACTACCAAGTCATGCCTGAAATCAATTACAAGCCTTGGGATTTACCTGATAATGAATCTATCCTACTTTTTCTTCGCTTCTTGAAGCAGCTGAGGCAGGGCAAGGCCTCCATCATTCCTGAAATCGATTTCTACAAGCACGAGCCTTGGGATTTAGCTGGTAATCTGTCTCTCTTTCTCTTCACTGTCCATTTTCTAATTTCCAAGGTATGATGTTTGTTTATACATAATCTTGATCAGTTGTTCTATTGAAATATGTTGTTCATTACTTCAAGACTTGTTTTGTGTTGCATTTTGCAGGAGCAGGACTCATGTTCCCAGATTCTCCATATCAAGCTAGGACGTGGTTCTGCTTCAGCCGACCTGATTACAAATACGTCGACAGTCCTCGCCGCAGCAGGCTCACAGAGAAGGGCTTCTGGAAAATCACAGGCCAGCCACGAGAAGTCAAGTCTCGACAACTCTCCAATTCGCTCACTTGCAAAAAAAAGACCTTGACCTTCCATTTAGGTCGTCCAAAAAAGTCGAGCAACACCGGCTGGGTCAAGCAGGAGTATTATCTCACTCCAACTGACCCGGGTTCTAACCCCAATCAGCTGAGTGGCCTTGTTCTTTACCGCGTCAAGTATAAGTCAGCTGACTATGAGTCTGATAATAAGAAGCGGCAGGATGTTTCTATCTGTAATGAATCATTAGCTAATCCTGCTATCGGTGGCTACATGGCCTCTAATTCTCAAGATTATCATTTCATTCCGGAGGCCGAAGAACATGTGCTTGGAACTGGCAATCTTAATGATGGAGAACCTGGTGGCTTTGTTTCGTCTGATTTTGATGATATGATTCAAGAGGTGCGTATGAATGTGCATTTTCAACATTTCTGATGTAAAATTGTAAACGCGGAGCACAAGAAATATGTCAACACTTAACCTTTGCTTGTTTGTGATTCTTAATCTGGCTGCCATGTGATCAGCAAGAACATCTGGATTCACCTTCTCCTCCTCCTGAGCTGCCTCGGCCACACCAGCTACCTCAGTTGGGAAATGTTCATGGTAGTACTGGTGACTACATTGCCTCTATTTCTGATAACCAAGTTGCTGCTATCCATCATATGATTACAGAAGAAGAAGAACTTTTGGCCTTCAAAGAGCTAGAACGTGTTCTTCTTGGCAGTGGCAATCCTGATGATGGTGAACCTGGTAGCTGTGTTTCTGATGTGCTTCAAGAGGTGAGACTTTTTGAGCAGTTTCTGATGTGAAATTGTTGATATGGAGCACAAGAAGTATATCAAAACTTAATTAACACTTGCTTGTTTTTTGAAATCTGTGAATGGCAGTTATGTGCTCCGCTAGGAGAAGATCTGGATTCACCTGTTCCTCCTCCTGGGCCACCTGAGCTCGGAAATGCTCCTGATGTCTATTCTGATGAATGCAGTAGCTGGCCATCCCAAATTGAGGATAATGATTCTTCTCTTCCAAACAAGAATAATATTCCAACCAATTATGACAGCAAGCCAGTTAGCAACACAGCCTCAAACTTTGAGAATCAAACTAAAGATGAAAGGATTCCTGAGGTGAGAATCAACATGCTCTTTGAAATTTTCATATATATACTTCTTAATATGGAGCACAAGAATTACACCCAAACTTAACGCTTGCTTGGAATAATTCTTAATACAGGTTTATTCTCAATCAGAAGAAAATCTGCAATGGTTCTTTCGTTCACTTGAGGTAGAGGATTACACATTGCCTTCCTCAATATTATACGCGGAACAGGGAGATGGTCTGCATGCCAATAACTTTATTGGATGCAATGAGTCGCAATGTGCGGCTCTTTTCCCACAAAGTTCTTGAGTAACAAAAACATCATAAACTCTTTCCAATGACTACAACCTACCAAAATCATTGGGAAGGGTTTATGATGAGTATGGTGGAGTACAACAGTGACACAAACACTGAAGTACTCCATGTAAAGATTATTTGCATTAGCTATTGGAGAAACACTCCATTATGGTTAATGAACCAGAACATTTTATTTATAGGAGAATATCAAAGGGGACTTATAAACAACAAGAGCCCTTGTAAGAATGTGTCTCAAACTCACATTATTACAGACTGATATTCTCCTACAAATATTTCACAAATGACATAAGTTACTAGTCTGTCACACACAGCAAGGGTTTTGGGCAATTATGTCCAAAATCTTTGATGTGTGTGTAACCCCAAAAAAAAAACAAAAACAAAACCAAAAAAAAAGAAAAAGAGAAGAAGCTGTGTCCCAGCATCCCCAAGTTTTGGAAACTTCAACCTTAATTGGTAGGTGAACTTGTTGGTACAAAGAAAGACCAGCAAATGCAAATGGTTGAAATGCCATCTGGAACTCTCTACCCTTCTCTGAATGCAACGAGTCCAGATGAAGTAAGATGTGTTTTCTCGGAAGCAGTCTTTTGGAGATGGCACTTCCCCTATCAACACAAACTACAGATATTCCTCAGATCAGTAGTCTTCTTGAACTAGTATATCTATCCTACAAGTCGAAGAACACACAACCTCCATATCAACCAATATCCATTCACGTCTTCGCTGCACACATGGGAGGTGCTCCTAGAAGAATCCGAGTGCAGAGTAGTATCACAACACAAGGTGAGAAGGAATCAAGCTGAAAACATGACTTTCTCACAGCAGTTAAATGAAACATGTTATAATGAAGCTGTGACATTGAGGAGGCTATTTGCTATTCTCACTCAATTGAATTTGATTTCTGTTTGCAGGTCAGGGAAGCTGAAGCTCATTGTATTGCCGTTCATACTGTTTGAAGCAGGCACGGAATGGGCAGCTGGCACCAAATTGAAGGGTTCGTTTACTTTCCTGGAAGCATCTCCTTCAAGCCGTAAACCAAGTTCCCCCATGGTACTATAATATTTCAATACCTAGTTCTAGTTGAATAGCCTTACAGGCTTGCTTTTGTTCTACAGTCACGATCATTATAGAAGTGGCGCTATACACAGAAGCTTCTGCTACATGGATGCTGGAGTCTCAGGTTACTATATTGGTATAACCAGACACTAGTCTGATGTTCTGGTTACTGATATAGAATCTTTGAACTCCATCCTTACTGGAGTAGTTGTTACTAGTTACAGTCATTTCCAAAATGTACGATTATTTTTGTATTTGGAAGGTCTTAAACCTATCAGTGACCTCCCACCAAAAATTGTACCCTGAATATTGTCCTTGTGAATGTTGTTTATTTCAAACATTACAATGTTGAATGGAATATATTGTGTGTTACTTCCTCTATTTTCGGTCTCATAATGTCTACCTGCCATTGCTCAATGCAAATTTTGTCCTCTTTTCTGCTAATGTAGAACAAATGAATTAGCATCTTCCTTCCTCGCTCCAAAGGTCTGGATAGTCATCCGTTGGTAAATCTAATTTAGGTTTATTATCCTGAATGAAAAAATATATATTGGGCAGTTACTCCAATGTGATTGTATTGTAGGACAGTCGCAACAATATACGAAGAAAAAAATAATTGTTCGGGCTCGTTTGAATTGAACCGTTTGTTACCACAGGCCAATCTCAAATTGTTGTACATGAGTTTTGCCTTGCGACAATATTTTGGCTCCAAACTAATTTTGTCTAATTTGAGCTACTAACTTAAAGGTACTTCGCTCAACCTTTTTATGGTCAAGGTGCAACAAGATTTTGGCTCCAAACTAGTTGTGTCTGATTTGCTTTAGTGAACTAGTTATTAATCTAATAATATTTCTCTCAACTTTCTTATAAATTCTTTAAAATCATTGGTATCTCAAGTTGTTTCTCTAATAAAAATTCTCTTTCATGCGAACATGGTAAGAAATCTAAATAATCATCTTATTTTGTGTAACGATAAAATCACGTGGGTATTTGATATGAGAAAACACTTAAACTATAATGCGTATATAATTATTAATTATAACTAAATCTTAAACTTAAGGACAATACTTCCCTCTTTACCATATGTGCCTTTTTTTTCCTCAAAAATATTTTTGTTTCTTCGCTTTTATTATTCATAGCTGAATTTTTTTTTAATTGCTTTCATCTATCCCACAAACCACCTCTTTAGTTTTTCATAATTAGACAAGGTTATAGATGCATTATAATTTCATATTCTACGGTCTCTACAACTTAAAGTTTGCTTGATTCAAAAATGTCTATATCCTTTTAAAAAAACACCTCTATGAAGAAACTATGCCTACCAACTTTGTCAATGGTAATTTGGATGAAGGTGAATTGTTGGGTTTGGAGTTAGAAAAGTCCAGAATAGACATAAAATTTAACTGAGGTATGAAATAAAAAAGGAAATTAGTTATGCTAATGAAAGAGAAGGGAAAAACACTTTTGGAAGCTTAAATAAAAAGGACACATGTCAATTTATGGTTGGGCCACATTACTAGGTAAGAAGGATTTCCTAAAGAGGGAAGGGTTATCCTAAACTTAAATAGATTTTGAACACCACAGCGAACATGCAACATGCAACGGTGTCAAGAACAACAACTTATGAAGAAGGTTTTGACCCATGTATCAAGAGTCTAGAATGTTCTTCTTCCCCCCAAAACAATGATTAACTGAAGAATAGAAATGTACTAAAGCCGAACTTACAAGAGGGGTAGATGAGATTCCCGCAAAAGAACAAACTATAAATTATAAAAACTAAAAATTAACGCGTGAAAGGGAATGAGTGTGTGGGGCCTGCCTTTATATGACCCAAGCCATGTCCTTCTTCAGTCGGGTAAACTTGAACTTGTATGAGAAGCTCAGGGACTTGGGACCAATAATCAAACACATTGACGAAAACAAATATATTAAAAAACATCAAACAAATGTATAAAAACAAATAGTCAAAAGGACTAGTGTTTTGAGTTAGTGGGACCTGGTTAGTGTTTATAAATACTTCACTCTTATTACTGCTTCCCAAAACATTTGAAAATCACAGTTCTAAAGTTCATAACAAGAAGGAGAGATGAGCAGCATCAGCACAATGGAAGAAGGGGATTCAATTCCTGTGGTCCTACCTGGGTTCAGATTCTACCCCACTGAAGAGGTGCTGGTGAGCTACTACTTGAAGAAGAAGATAGAGGGCAAGGACTCTAACTTCAGCCACATCATCCCTGAAATCGATGTCTGCAAGCACGAGCCTTGTGAAGTTCCTGGTAACCCATTAATCTTTCTCACTTCTTCTTCACTACCCATTTCCTCATTTCTACTGTTACTATGCTTTTTGTTTATATAAATTTATGATCTTGATCACTTCTGTTGTCGGGTAGTTCAAGACTTGAAGTGGGTTGGTTTCAATATCTTCTTTTGTGTTGCATTTCGCTTTTAATCCTCTTGAAAGATCCAACCCATCTCACATTTCTGTTGTTCTGTTTTGTTGTATTTATGATCTTGTTCAGTTTTGTTGTATGAGTACTTCTGGAAAGAGCCAACCCATCTCACGTACATTTCTAATGTTCTGTTTCGTTTTATATTTAAAATTTACGATCATGTTAAGTTTTTGTTGTCTGAGTTCTGGACTTGAACTGGATTGGTTTCAAATTTTCAATACTTCGTTTTGTGTCGCATTTCGATTTCAATGCTCTTGAAAATTTTGATCATGTTCAGTTCTTCTGTTGAGTACTTGAAGACTTGAAGTGGTTGGTTTGAAATTTTGAAAATTTTGTTGTGTGTGGCATTCCAGCGTTCTTTGAAGAGGCAGACTTTCCAGATCATGAGATGGAATGGTTCTTCTTCAGCCAACCTGATTATAAGTACACCAACAGCACTCGCTGCAACAGGGCCACAGATCAGGGCTTTTATAAAATCACAGGCAAGGTTCGTGAGATCAAGGCTCGACGATCCAAAGCTGTGATTGGTAAGAAGAGGACCTTGACTTTCTACGAAGGCCGTGTGCCCAAAGCAAAGAAGACCAACTGGATCATGCATGAGTATTATCTCACCAACACTGAACTGGCCCAACTTGGTCCTAATACCAATCAGAGGAAGGACTTTGTTCTCTGCCGCTTGAAGAATAAGTCAGCTAATTATATGAAGCTGAAGGATGATTCAATCTGCGATGAATTAGCTGATACTGGTTCTGGTGGCGGCATTGCCTCTAATTCTGAAGATGATCAAGCTGCAGGAGCCGATATGATTTCAGAGCCATTAGAACATCTGGCCTCCCAAGAGGTAGGAGATGTTCTGAATGGTAATGGTTCTGGTCTGATAGAAAATAATGATATTTCAATCTGTGATGATGATCAAATTGATGCCTGGATTTTCTCTGATTTCGATAGTCAAGCTGCATATGATTTGCTTCAAGAGGTGAGTATATTAGTGCTTTTTGACCATTTTTTTATATGAAGTTGCTTATTCATGCTTTTTGAGCAATTTTTATATGAACTTGCTTATTCATGCTTTTTGAACAATTTTTATATGAACTTGCTAATTTGGAGCAACAGAAGCATATCAAATACTTAGCACTTGCTTGTTTGTGATTCTTAATCCAGCAGTATTGTGCTGAGCCAGGAGAAAATCTGGATTCACCCCTTCCTCCACCACAGCCACCTCAGCCACCTCTGCCACAGGATTACTGCTCCTCCACACAGCAGTCACCATTATACACAAATCAGGGAAATGTTCCTTATGTCTATGATGGTGACTGCAATAGGCAGCAATCTCCGATTGGGGATAGGAATTCTTATCTTACACATAAGAATAATATGTCAATGAATAATCAAATTGAACCAGTAAGCAACATTACTTATGGTGTTCAAAATCGAGCTACAGGTGAAAGTAATTCGGAGGTGAGAATGAGCGTGCTCTTTGAATTATGTTTTTTTACATATGAACTTTCTAATACGGCACAAGAATGACATCCAAACTTAACGCTTGCTTCGTTATAATTCTTAATCCAGGTTTGTAATAATTCAACCAATGATTTCAAGGAACCAGTTAGCAGCATCACTTATAATTGTAACAATGGAGCTCCAGATGAAAGGATTTTAGAGGTGAGAATGAGCCTGCTATTCGATTTATTATTATTTTAGAAATGAATTTCTTAATACGTAGCACGAGTACATCCGAACTCAACTCTTGCTTGTTCTGATTCTTATTCCAGGCTGTTAAATTTCAGGGCGACGGGCCAAGAGAAAATCTGGGATCACCCTCTGATCCATTTCAGCTACAGGATTTCACACTGCTGTCACCAATGAACTCAGAACTGGGAGATTTTGAGCATGGCAATAAACTATATTGGCATGCAATGAGTTGAAATCTCTGATCTGGAGGTTATGACTCTTTTCCCTCAAAGTTCTTATATACAGTAATTGTTGACAAGGAATATTATTATCCTGTGAAGAAACAACCAACACTACTTTCAATGACTCTAATCTATCAGAGTCAAAAGGAAGATTCTATAGTAGCGGTAGTGGAGTAAGAAGTGGAAGAAAAAAACAGTGAATTTTACTATGGATGGGAAGTAGTTTTAATCTGCATTAGCTATACGAGAGACAGTGCAACATAGCTAGTGAATCACAATATTTTACTTTTAGGAGAACATCAATAGGGGCCTTGTATACCCCAAGAGGTTACATCATCCTTGTCTACATTTCTGGAACTGGAGGCTTTGGAAACTTCTTCATAGTTATGGACATCTATGTCCAGGACAAACGAATCAGGTTAACTAAGTCTGTTCTTGGTCTTTTGGGCCATTGCTGTGTGTCACAGCATTCCCAACTTTTGGAAACTTGAAGCTTGTTAGGTGAACTTGTTGGTCACCGGAAAGTGGCAACTTTTGAAATGCCATCTGGAACTCTATTCTCCTACGGCAAGTCCAGGCAAAATAATTTGGAGACCATGTCTCTCCTGTCAACAGAACTACAAATGTTACTCAAATCAATTGTCTTCAAATAATGTACTCTCTTAATCAAAGGTCACACCATGCCTCAATATAAACCAACTTCCGTTCATGTTCACTCATGGGAGGTGCTCTGAGAAGAATCCGACTGCAAAGCTGTATCACAAGACAAGGTGAGAGAATTAGCCTAAAACATGAAGAGAATTCTTTATCGCTTTCTCACTGTAAATAAAAGCTCTTTATCGCTATTTCACTGAACTTAACGTGATTTCTGTAACTCTGTTTACAGGTTAGGGAAGCTGCAGAGTATTGCATTGCTCTCCATCTGAAAACCAAGTCCTGGAAGCATACGGTTTGAAGCAGGCAACAATAGGGTTCTTTCATGCTCTTGGAAGCATCTCCTCAAAACCATTAATCAAGTCCCCAGTCCAGTGGGGCATGGTATAATCTCTCAGTACCAAGTTCTAGTTCTAGTTCTAGCCTTATATTCAGGCTTTCGTTCCACGCTGCATTGTTCTGGAAGTGGCATTATACAGGATCTGCTGCTGCATGGCTGCTGGAGTCTCGATATATGTTACAATAACCAGACACTAATGTGATGTCTGTGGTTATTGGAATGGAAGTTTTGAGGTTCCATCCTTAATGAAGTAGTAGTTACAACTTACAATCATGTTAAAACTGTATGATTATGATTGGTTTAAAACCTATGTATCACCTTCAGGTTGAAACACCCAAACCTTAAGACCAAAAATTGTATTCTTGTAAATGTTGTTGTTGATTTTGTTTTTGTAATTGGCCCGGCCTGTATCAACTGCCGCGGTCCTGTGCAGCATTCCTGCTCCCCTTTTCTACTGTGTCAGTGTTAATATTGTATGTGCAGAACCTTTCAGTGTTGAATGTAATTTTGTGTATTATATTCTCTTTTTATATTTCAACCCCCCAATGTTTAATATGTCTCCAAGTTGCAGAAACTTTGGGTTTTTAGGACAAAGCTATGGTGTTCAAGCCTAGTTTTGCCTCGGAAAAATTATGTTTCATTAGGTAACCTATTACAGAGGGATGTTTCCATAAAATACTTCAAATCGATTCAAATAACATTTATGGGGGTTTTAGTCACTTTCGTGCATAGTATTCAACGTTGATTCATACAATTTCTAGATTTTCAAGATCAAAACGTTTTGCCTCGGAAAAATTATGTTTCATTAGGCAACCTATTACAAAGGGATGTTTCCATAAAATACTTCAAATCGATTCAAATAACATTTATGGGGGTTTTAGTCACATACGTGCATGGTTTTTCAACGTTGATTCATACAATTTCTAGATTTTCAAGATCAAAACTTATAAAACTTTGAAGGCTAATCACTCTTACTTATCAAATGAGCGTGAAGTTTTGAAAAATAGATTTAGAACTCCAAAAAATGTTCATCAAAAACCCGAAACTTATTTTAAGTAGAAAAAGACAAATAAATATTTTGAACTTTTCAAATAAGAAGGAACGCTTAAAACTAAACTAAAATACTCAACACATTTTATAATTTAAATACTCTTAACATCCCAAATAATAATTTATGTATTAAGCTTTGATCCATGATCAAGCAAGAGCCCAAAAGGGTAAAAGCCTTTGATCTGATCCATATATCAGAAGTCTAGAATGTTCCAGAAATCTCTCGATTGCATTTGTTTTTCCCTCATAAATTCATGAGTAACTGAAGAAAAAGAAAATTACTAAAAGGTGAACTTGCAAGGCGAGAAATTAGGTCGACAAGAGGACATAAACAAATATAAAATATAAAATATAAAAAACGCGGGAAAAGACCGAATGGGACCCACTGGTGTGATAGATTGCAAATTTGCAACACAAAACAAAGTTTGGTGCCACATTACCAAAATAAATTTTCTAAATTCCCCTTTATGAATAAAGCTTTTATCCTTCAGGCCCAAGTAGTCGTTCGTTGCTACTTTTGGGTGAATAAGCCTTTGGTCACCTCTTTATGAATAACTATTTACTCATCCTCACTCTCTCTCTCTCTCTCTCTTTAAGATTTATAAAAAAAATTAAAAAATTCAGAAACCCTAGATTCCCAAATTAAAATCTACTAAATTTGCATAAACTTTAGGGTTTTCAGGACAAAGTTGTGGTGTTCAAGCCTAGTTTTGCCCCGGAAAAATTATGTTTCATTATACAAAATTATAGGTGTTTTAAGATTTAACCCTATTACAAAAGGAGGTTTCCATAAAATACTTCAAATCGATTCAAATAACATTTATGGGTTTTAGTTACATACGTGCATGGTTTTTCAACGTTGATTCATACAATTTCTAAATTTTCAAGATCAAAACTTAACAAAACTTTGAAGGCTAATCAAATGAGCATGAAGTTTCGAAAAATAGATTTAGAACTCCAAAAAATGTTCGTCAAAAACCCGAAACTCATTTTAAGTACAAAAAAGACAAATAATTATTTTGAACTTTTAAAATAAGAAGGAACGCTTAAAAGTAAACTAAAATACTCAACACATTTAATAATTTAAATAGATTCTTAACATCCCAAATAATAATTCTTTATGTATAAAGCTTTGATCCATGATCAACCAAGATCCCAAAAGGGTAAAGCCTTCGACCTGATCCATATATCAGAAGTCTAGAATGTTCCAGAAATCTCTCGATTGCATTTGTTTTCCCCTCATAAATTAATGAGTAAATGAAGAAAAGAAAATTACTAAAGGTGAACTTGCAAGAGCAGGTCGACAAGATTCCTTCAAGAGGCCATAAACAAATATAATGTTAATATATAAATAACGCGGGAAAAGACCGGATGGGACCCACTGGTGTGATAGATTGCAACACAAAACAAAGTCTTGGTGCCATATTGCCAAAATATATTTTCTAAAATTCTCCCCTTATGAATAAAGCTTTGATCCTTGAGGCCCAAGTTGTCGTTCGTTGCTTGCTACTTTGGGTGAATGAGCCTTTGGTCTCCTCTTTATGAATAACTATTTACTCATCCACTCTCTCTCTCTCTCTCTCTCATCCTACTTTTCTCCTTCTGAATTTGAATAGGAAATCTAAGTGCTCGTTTGGTATCCTACTCAAAAATTATAATTCTTTTTAAAAATATAAGTTTTTAAATACTAATTTTAAGATCTAAAAATTTGTTTGATATTAAACTCCAAACTATTTCTAAAAACTTGATGCCCAGAGAGAGAGAGAGAATTGTAAAACCCCCCCTTTTTTTTTAAAGGGCCGTTTTTTAAGTTGTTTTGGAGATGAGCTTTTGAAAAATGGGCTCCACCACATGCAAATTATGGCTTTAGATTCAAAAATTGTTTTTGAATTTAAGAAAATGGATCCAAGTAGGATACCAAATGGCCCAAAGGATTCACTCATTTTCTTTTGGATTTTAGCTATAGAACTTCAAAACATTTTAAAAGGTTCCTTCTCTTCCCATCGTAACTTTTATCTGAAATAATTCCTAAGACATGGATAGCAGCACATGGTAAGTGTGAAAAATGAACTAAGGTAATTGTAAGATAAATATATTCTCTTAATGGAGAGAAAAGTTAAAAGGCTCTGAATTTGATCCACATATAATACTTTAGGAATGTGCCTTGCTTTTTGTAAATAAATAATCCATGTCCTTCCTTCTTCTGCATGGTGTAGTAAAGCAAAGGAAGCGGAGGATACAAGTCAAGAATTTCTCAAGTATATTATTATTTTCCTCACAAATGGATGAAAAGTTAAAACGCTTATTTATTGATATGCCTTATGAGCTTTGCTTATCATCTCACAATTCAGAGAAAGTCTCATGCAAAAAGCGCTATTTCTGGCTAATAACACAATGATAGAGTTGATAACTTTTTCGGATATCATTGTGTTATTGATTGAAAATAGCAAAACAGTGCTATGCCCGTGACGAAAAAGTTTTTGAGTGCTGTTAAATATTTCAATATTAATATTTAACTTGAATTTTAAATTTTTATTAGATAAAACTACTAAAATGTCGATGACACGCCAGCAACTTAAACTTAAAGCCATGTACAGTAGAAGTCCACCAAGAGTCAAGACTTCAGAGACCTTGGTCGGGAAGCTCTAGACTGGTTTGTTGTGATTGGGTGAGTTTGTTAATAAATACAACTTCACTCCTCTGCTGCTTCTTCCCTCAAGACAAAACATTTGATTATAATCTTATCCCAATTTTCCAAAACAGTTGAATTGAAGGAGAGATGGGAGAGATGAGCGGCAGTAGCAGCACAACAACAGAAGCATGGGTGCTGGACTTGCTGCGTGGGTTCAGATACCATCCCCCCGAGGATGAAATGGTGAACCTTTTGAAGAAGCAGGTGGAGGGCCAGCGCTCCCAAGCCATGCCTGAAATCGAGGACAAGCCTTGGGATTTACCTGATAATGAATCTATCGAACTTTTTCTTCGCTTCTCGAAGAAGATGATGCAGGGCAAGGCCTCCCAAGCGTGCCACATCATCCCAGACATTGAATTCTACAAGTACGAGCCTTGGGAATTAGCTGGTAATCCATTAATCTGTCTCACTTTCTCTTCACTGCCCATTTTCTAATTTCCAAGGTATGATGTTTGTTTATACATAATATTCATCACTTGTTCTGTGTATACCTGATGTTTGTTGGAACTTACCTGATATAATCCATTAATCTATCTCACTTTTTCATCAAAACCCATTTTCTCATTTTCAATGTTTGATTTTTGTGTATGCGTAATCTAAGATCTTGTTCAGTTGTTCTGATAGAATCCCTAAACCCTAAACCTGATATAATCCATTTATCTGTCTCAATGTTCTTCACTACCCATTTTCTCATTTCCAATTTAAAATTTCTATCTCTATACATAATCTTGTTCAGTAATTTAGTTATTCATTACTTCAAGACTTGAAGTGGGTTGGTTTCAATATCTTGTTTTGTGTTGCATTTTGCAGGACTCATGTTGCCAGACTCTCCATATCAAACTAGGATGTGGTTATGCTTCAACCGACCTGATCACAAATACGCCAACAGTCCTCGCTGCAATAGGCTCACAAAGAAGGGCTTCTGGAAAATCACAGGAAAGCCACGAGAAATCAAGTCTCGACAACTCTCCAAATCGGTCACTTGCAAAAAGAGGACCTTAACCTTCCATTTAGGTCGTCCGTCTGAGTCGAGCAAGACCGGCTGGGTCAAGCAGGAGTATTCTCTTACTTCAACTGTCCCGGGTTCTAATCTGAGTGCCCTTGTTCTTTTACGCATGAAGTATAAGTCAGCTGACTATGAGTCTGATAATAAGAAGCAGCAGGATGTTTCAATAGATGATGAATCAGCTGATCCTGCTATTGGTGGCGCCATGGCCTCTAATTCTCAAGATGATCAAGCTGCTGCAAATCATATGATTCCGGAGGCCGAAGAACATCTGCGTGGAAGTAGCAATCATAATGATGGTGAACCTGGTGGCTTTGTTTCATCTGGTTTTGATGATATTATTCAAGAGGTGAGTATGAATGTGCATTTTCAACATTTCTGATTTAAAATTGTAAATGTGGAGCACAAGAAATATATCAACACTTAACGCTTGCTTGTTTGTGATTCTTAATCTGGCAGTTATGTGCTCAGCTAGGACTGGATTCACCTTCTCCTCCTCCTGAGCCGCCTCGGCCACACCAGCTACCTCAGCTGGGAAATGTTCCTGGTACTGGTGACTCCCTCGCCTCTAATTCTGATAACCAAGTTGCTGCTATCCATCATGTTATTACAGAAGAAGAAGAAGTTTTGGCCTACAAAGAGCTAGAACGTGTTCTTCTTGACAGTGGCAATCCTGATGATGGTGAACCTGGTAGCTGTGTTTCATCTGATGTGCCTCAAGAGGTGAGACTTTTTGAGCAGTTTCTGATGTGAAATTGTTGATATGGAGCACAAGAAGTATATCAAAACTTAATTAACACTTGCTTGTTTTGTGAAATCTGTCAAATGGCAGTTATGTGCTCCGCTAGGAGAAGATCTGGATTCACCCGTTCCTCCTCCTGGGCCACCTGAGCTCGGAAATGCTCCTGATGTCTATACTGATGAATGCAGTAGCTGGCCATTCCCAATTGAGGATAATGATTCTTCTCTTCCAAACAAGAATATTATTCCAACCAATTATGACAGCAAACCAGTTAGCAACACAGCCTCTAACTTCGAGAATCAAACTAAAGATGAAATTCCTGAGGTGAGAATCAACATGCTCTGCGAAATTTTCATATATATACTTCTTAATATGGAGCACAAGAATTACACCCAAACTTAACGCTTGCTTGGAATAATTCTTAATCCAGGTTTATTCTCAATCAGAAGAAAATCTGCAATGGTTCTTTCGTTCACTTGAGGTAGAGGATTACACATTGCCTTCCTCAATATTATACGCGGAACAGGGAGATGTTCTGCATGCCAATAACTTTATTGGATGCAATGAGTCGCAATATGCGGCTCTTTTCCCACAAAGTTCTTGAGTAACAAAAACATCATAAACTCTTTCCAATGACTACAACCTACCAAAATCATTGGGAAGGGTTTATGATGAGGATGGTGGAGTACAACAGTGACACAAACACTGAAGTACTCCATGTAAAGATTATTTGCATTAGCTATTAGAGAAACACTCCATTATGGTTAATGAACCAGAACATTTTATTTATAGGAGAATATCAAAGGGGACTTATAAACAACAAGAGCCCTTGTAAGCATGTGTCTCAAACTCACATTATTACAGACTGATATTCTCCTACAAATGTTTCACAAACGACATAAGTTACTAGTCTGTCACATACAGCAAGGGTTTTGGGCAATTATGTCCAAAAGCTTTGATGTGTGTGTAACCCCAAAAAAAAGAGAAGAAGCTGTGTCCCAGCATCCCCAAGTTTTGGAAACTTCAACCTTAATTGGTAGGTGAACTTGTTGGTACAAAGAAAGACCAGCAAATGCAAATGGTTGAAATGCCATCTGGAACTCTCTACCCTTCTCCGAATCAACGAGTCCAGATGAAGTAAAGATGTCTTTTCTCAGAAGCAGTCTTTTGGAGATGGCACTTCCTCTATCAACACAAACTACAGATATTCCTCAGATCAGTAGTCTTCTTCAACTAGTATATCTATCCTACAAGTCGAAGAACACACAACCTCCATATCAACCAATATCCATTCACTTCTTCACTGCACACATGGGAGGTGCTTCGAGAAGAATCTGAGTGCAGAGTAGTATCACAACCCAAGGTGAGAAAGAATCGAGCTGAAAACATGACTTTGTCACAGCAGTTAAATGAAATATGTTATAATGAAGCTTTGACATTGAGGAGGCTATTTGCTATTCTCACTCAACTGAATTTGATTTCTGTTTGCAGGTCAGGAAGCTGCAGCTCATTGTGTTGCCGTTCAAACCGTTTGAAGCGGGCATGGAATGGGCAGCTGGCACCAAATTGAAGGGTTCTTTTACTTTCCTGGAAGCATCTCCTATGGTACTATAATATTTCAATACCAAGTTCTAGTTGTATAGCCTTACAGGCTTGCTTTTGTTCCACAGTCGCTATCATTATAGAAGTGGCGCTATATAGAAGCTTCTGCTACATGGCTGCTGGAGTCTCAGTTTACTATATTAGTATAACCAGACACTAGTGTGATGTTCTGGTTACTGATGTAGAATCTTTGAACTCCATCCTTAATGGAGTAGTAGTTCCTAGTTAGTCATTTCGAAAATGTACGATTATTTTTGTATTTTGAAGGTCTTAAACCTATCAATGACCTACCTTCAGTCTGAAACATCCTACCCTTTACCACTAGAAATTGTATCCTTGTTAATATTGTTTCGATTATCGTTGTATCCTTGTGAATGTTGTTTATTTCCAACATTTCAATGTTGAATGGAGAATATTGTGTATTATTTCCTCTCTTTATTTTCGGTCCCAGAATGTCTACCTGCCGTTGCTCAGTGCAAAATTTTCACCTCTTCTGCATATAGTCATCCCATTAGATTTATCATCCTGAATGAATATATTTACACCCTTATACAATTATCAAAATTTATTAAAGAAAAAAAAATTTATATATATATATACAGGGCAGTCACTCCAATGTTATTGTATTGTAGGATAGTCCCAACAATATGCGCAAAAAAAATAAAAAAAATAAAATCGTTCTAACTCAGTTTGAATTGTATCGTTTCTTACAGTAGGCCAACCTCGAATTGTTGTAAATGAGTTTTGCCTTGCATCAAGGTTTTGGCTCCAAACTAATTGTGCCTTATTTGTTTAGTGAACTAGCTATTAATTTCATGGTATTTTATCAAATTGCTTTGTTACAGAAAAGCTTAAAATCTTCCCCATCTCAAATTGCTTCCTTATATCATGATAAGTAATTTAAATACTCACTTTATTTCTGTGATGGTAAAATCACGTGAATACGATAACACGGTGACTATAACTTAAGTATATTCTTAATACCGCATTGATATTGAATGAAACATGCAACGGCTGTCACAAACAATAATTTATATGAATAAGGTTTGACCCAGGTGAATTGAAGAATAGAAGAGTACCATCGCTGAACTTACAAGAGGGGTAGTAGATGCATGAGATTCCCACCGAAAAAAAAAAACAAAATATAAAAATTAAAATTAGCGCGTGGAAGAAAATGCGTGGGGGCTCCCCTGCCCTGACCCAAGTCTTTGGTAAACTTGAACTTGTATGGGAAGATCAGACCAAAAAAAAAAACATAAACTTGTATGGGAAGCTCAAAATCTTAGGATCAATCATCAAACTATATATATATTATAAAATTCATCAAACACTAGTGAAAAAAAGACCAGTGCTTTGAGTTAGTGAGACTTGGTTAGTGTTTAGTGTTTATAAATACAACTTCACGCTTATTACTGCTTCCCAAAACATTTGAAAATCACAGTGCCAAAGTTGATAAGAAGAAGGAGAGATGAGCAGCATCAGCAGCACCACAATGGAAGAAGGGGATGCAGTGCCTGTGGTCCTACCTGGGTTCAGATTCTATCCCACCGAAGAGGTGCTGGTGGGCTACTACTTGAAGAAGAAGATAGAGGGCAAGGACTCTAACTTCAGGCACATCATCCCTGAAATCGATGTCTGCAAGCACGAGCCTTGTGATGTTCCTGGTAACCCATTAATCTTTCTCACTTCTTCTTCACTACCCATTATCTCATTTCTAATGTGACTTTGCTTTTGTTTATATAAATTTATGATCTTGATCAGTTCTGTTGTTGGGTAGTTCAAGACTTGATGTGGGTTGGTTTCAATATCTTGTTTTGTGTTGCATTTCGCTTTCAATTCTCTGGAAACTGCCAACCCATTTCATATTTCTAATGTCTATATTTAAATTTATGATCTTGTTCAGTTTTGTTGTATGAGTACTTCTGGACTTGAAGTGGGTTGGTTTTAAATTTTTAATATTTTGTTTTGCGTTACATTTCTATTTTGATGCTCTTGAAATTTTGTGATCATGTTCAGTTGTTCTGTTGAGTACTTGAAGTGGTTGGTTTGAAATTTTGAATATTTTGTTATGTGTGGCATTTCAGCGTTCTTTGAAGAGCCAGACTTTCCTGATCATGAGATGGAATGGTTCTTCTTCAGCCAACCTGATTATAAGTACACCAATAGCACTCGCTGTAACAGGGCCACAGATCAGGGCTTTTATAAAATCACAGGCAAGGTTCGTGAGATTAAGGCTCGACGATCCAAAGCTGTGATTGGTAAGAAGAGGACCTTGACTTTCTACGAAGGTCGTGTGCCGAAAGCCAAGAAGACCAACTGGATCATGCATGAGTATTATCTCACCAACACTGAACTGGCCCAACTTGGTCCTAATCCCAATCAGCAGAGGGACTTTGTTCTCTGCCGCCTGAAGAATAAGTCAGCTAATTATAAGAAGGTGAAGGCTGATTCTGGTTCTGGTTCTGGTGGCTGCATTGCCTCTAATTCTGAAGATGATCAAGCTGCCGCAACCGATATGATTTCAGAGCCATTAGAACATCTGGCATCCCAAGAGGTAGGAGATGTTCTGAATGGTAATGGTGATCATGATGAATGCACCGAGTCTCCAAATGGTACTGGTCTGATAGACAACAATGATACTTCAACCTGTGATGATGATGAAATTGATACCTGGATTTTCTATGATTTTGATAATCAAGCTGCATGTGATCTGTTTCAAGAGGTGAGTGTAATAGTGCTTTTTGACCCTTTTTTATATGAAGTTACTTATTCATGCTTTTGAACAATTCTAATATGAACTTGCTTATTCATGCTTTTTGAACAATTTTTGTATGTACCTTGCTAATTTGGAGCAGCAGAAGCATATCAAAACTTAGCACTTGCTTGTTTGTGATTTTTATCCAGCAGTATTGTGCTGAGCCAGGAGAAAATCTGGATTCACCCCTTCCTCCACCACAGCCACCTCTGCCACCTCTGCCACAGGATTACTGCTCCTCCACACAGCAGTCATCATTATACACAAATCAGGGAAATGTTCCTTATGTCTATGATGGTGAATGCAATAGGCAGCAATCTCCGATTGGGGATAGGAATTCTTATCTTTCACATAAGAATAATATGTCAATGAATAATCAAATTGAACCAGTGAGCAACATTACTTATGGTGTTCAAAATCAAGCTACAAGTGAAAGTAATTCAGAGGTGAGAATGAGCGTGCTCTTTGAATTATGTTTTTTTTTTACATATGAACTTTCTAATATAGCACAAGAATGACATCCAAACTTAACGCTTGCTTCGTTATGATTCTTAATCCAGGTTTATAATAATTCAACCAATGATTTCAAGGAACCAGGTAGCAACATCACTTATAATTGTAATAATGGAGCTCCAGATGAAAGGATTTTAGAGGTGAGATATTTTAGAAATGAATTTCTTAATACGCAGCACAAGGAGTACATCCGAACTCAACTCTTGCTTGTTCTGATTCTTATTCCAGGCTGTTAAATTTCAGGGAGACGGGCCAAAAGAAAATCTGGGATCACGCTTTGATCCATTTCAGCTACAGGATTTCACACTGCTGTCACCAATGAACTCAGAACTGGGAGATTTTGAGCATGGCAATAAACTATATTGGCATGCAATGAGTTGTAATCTCTGATCTGGAGGTTTTGACTCTTTTCCCTCAAAGTTCTTACATACAGTTATTGTTGACCAGAAATATTATTATCCTGTGAAGAAACAACCCACACTACTTTCAATGACTCTAATATATCAGAGTCATAAGAAAGATTCTATAATAGCAGTAGTGGAGTAAGAAGAAGTGGAAGCAAAAAACAGTGAATTACTATGGATGGGTAGTAGTTTTAATCTGCATTAGCTGTACAAGAGACAGTGCAACATAGTTAGTGAACCACAATATTTTACTTTTAGGAGAACATCAGTAGGAGCCTTGTATACCCCAAGAGGTAACATCACCCTTGTCTACATTTCTGGAACTTGAGGCTTTGGAAACTTCTTCATAGTTGTGGACATCTATGTCCAGGACAAACGAATCAGGTTAACTAAGTCTGTTCTTGGTGTTTTGGGTCATTGCTGTGTGTCACAGCATTCCCAACTTTTGGAAACTTGAAGCTTGTAAGGTGAACTTGCTGATCACTGAAAATTGGCAACGTTTGAAATGCCATCTGGAACTCTATTCTCCTCCGGCAAGTCCAGACAAAATAATTTGGAGACCGTGTCTCTCCTGTCAACTGAACTACAAATGTTACTCAAATCAAATAGTGTACTCTCTTAATCAAAGGTCACACCATGCCTCAATATCTGTTCATGTTCATACATGGGAGGTGCTGTGAGAAGAATCCGACTGCAAAGCTGTATCACAAGACAAGGTGAGAGAATCAGCCTAAAACATGAAGAGAAACCTTTGTGGCCTTCTCACTGTAAATAAAAACTCTTTTATTGAAGCTTTGAGGAGGCTATTTGCTATTTTACTCAAATTAACGTAATTTCTGTAACTCTGTTTACAGGTTAGAGAAGCTGCAGAGTACTGCATTGCTCTCCATCTGAAAACCAGGTCCTGGAAGCATACGGTTTGAAGCAAACATCAACAGGGTTCTTTAAAGTTTGGAAGCATCTCCTCGAAACCATTAATCAAGTCCCCAGTGGGACATGGTATAATATATCGGTACCAAGTTCTAGCTCTAGCCTTATACTCGGGCTTTCGTTCCGCTCTCTGTTGTTTTGGAAGTGGTATTATACAGGATCTGCAGCTGCATGGCTGCTGGAATCTCAATATATGTTACAATAACCAGACACTAATGTGATGTCTGTGGTTATTGGTATGGAAGTTTTGAGGTTCCATCCTTAATGGAGCATGGATACGCCAATTTAGTGGCGTATCCCGTATCGGATACTTGTTTGGATACGATACGCTTCGGATACATATTGCAGTCAACGGATACGTTAGTTGACTAACGGATACGTGTATCCGACATTCCTTTATGATTGGTTTAAAACACCCAAGAATCGTATTCTTGTAAATGCTGTTGATTTTGTTTTTCTACTGTATCAGTGTTAATATTTGTTTATTTAGAACCTTTCAGCGTTGAATGGAATTTTTTGTATTATATTCTCTTTTCATATTTCAACCCCCCAATGTTGAATTAATATGCCATTGTTCAGTTTTAAGAAAGAATGATCGGAAAAAAATTGAGCTAAACGTGGCTCCAAGTTGCAGAAACTTTGGGTTTTTCACGACAAACCTATGGTGTTCAAAAATTATGTTTTTTTTTTTTGGTCTGAACCCTGAGGTGGTCCTGGATGGGCCCCAACTATGGGTGGCACCTTTAAGCCTTAACCACAACCCAGACTAATCCTCACTCACACCGGTCGGCCCGTAAGGGATAAAATGTTTGCCAAAGTGGTGACTCCGTACGAGAGCAGGGATCGAACCCCTGACCTCTCTTAAGGAATGAGAGTGCCGAACCACTCACACCAACCACCTTGGTTAAAAAAAAATTATGTTTTCAATATACAAAATTATAGGTGTTTTAAGATTTGAGGATTTGTAACCTATTATAGGAGAAATCGAAGCTCAAAAGTGACAATTACAAAAGGCATTTGTGGATGTTTCTATAAAATACTTCAAATCAATTTAAGGGCTCGTTTGGGAGTGCTTTTGGAGCAGCGAAAAGCGCTTCTAAATGGGTGAAAGCGCTTTTGCCTCTTAAAAATGGTGTTTGGCAAAAATTGCAAAAGCGCTTTGGGTGAGATCCAAAAGCACTTGGAGTGGTTTTGGAAGAAGCACTTGAGAGGTGCTTCTTCTTAAAAGCGCTGCAGGACAAAAACACGGGAAGCACTTGGCTCCCTTTAATGAAACTTTTAAAATGCCAAAAATACCCATATTTAATCTTTTTAAATGCCAAAATACCCTCTCTCTCTTTTTTTTTCTCTCTTTTTCTCTGCCTTAAAGAGCCATCAGCGCCACCTGCTAATACAAAGTCCGTATCAGTCCCTCCCCTGTCTGTACATCCATGCGAATCCGCTCCAAAGCACCATCACCTAACTGATTTGTTCCTTGATACTTCCGAACCTGCAATTCATAGAACACTGAGATAAAAATAAAATTATAAATTTCCTGCAGAATATAAATTACAACCTGCAATATCGGATATGGGTCATAAACAATCAAGCAGAAAGTAAAACCCGAAAAAAAATTGCTGGAATCATAATTGGCTAAATTTGAACATAACTGGAAAACTTAACTTAAAATCCTAGAATGAAGCCTTATAGTAAATCAACATACCACATGATGGGATACTTTCGCCTTTTGGAATTCCTCATAAAAGTTACACCTTCCTTTACTGGAAGCAATGAGATTACCACATAACTCCCTGTCATGAAGCAGCTTAGAAGTTTTTACTCTGGTTCGCCTACATGAATTGCACACCTATAACAAGATGAATCAGAACCAGCATTAAAGTCCTTTTATCTCACAATTGGAAAAGTCGTTGGAGAATGATACGACAGATGTATGACTTTCCTATGGAAAAACAAATACAAATAGTTGTTGCTTCAATGGCTCTTCACAATTTTATAAGATATCATTCAATGACAGATCAAGAATTCCAACCGTATGATGCTGATGTTGAGCTACTTCCCTCTGGCGGGGCGGGAGTTATTATAGGGGAAGAGATGGTTGAAGAATAAAATCTAATAAGTATTTTAGTCACGAGAAATTCTCCAATAATGAATGTAATTCAATGGCCGAAATTAGAAATATATAACCAATCCTTAACTTAAATACTTATTGGAGAATCTCCCTTTAGTGACATAGCCCCAATACGTGTATGGATTTTCCATGTTGATTCATACAATTTCTAAATTTTCAAGATCAAAACTTTGAAAGCTGATCAATCTATCAAATGAGCATGAAATTTAAATAAATAAAAAAATAGATTTAGAAACAACTCCAAAAAATGTTCGTCAAAAACCCGAAACTCATTTTAAGTAGAAAAAGACAAATAAAGATTGAATTTTTCAAATAAGAATGAACGCTTAAAACTAAACTAAAATACTCAACCCGTTTTATAATTGAAATAGATTCTTAACATCCCAAATAATAATTCTTTATGCATAAAGCTTTCATCAAAACAAAAAAAAAATAAACTCTTTAAAATTAAAATTAAAATAATAACGGTCTAGCCGTGCGGCTATATTCTTTAAGAAAAAAATAATAATAAAGTATAGCCGCGCGACTAAACTCGTTAAAATATAAAAATAAAAAACTGTATAGCCGCGCGGCTATACTCTTGAAAAACTTAAAAAAAAATTAAAAACCGTATAGCCGCGCAGCCATTCACTTTAAAAATTAAAAAATAAAACACTTTAGCCGCGCGGCTATACTATCTAAAAATTAAAAAAAAAGAGATAGTATAGCGAAGGGCTATACCTTTAAAAATAAAAACCGTATAGCCGCACGGCTATACGCTCTGGAAAAAAAAATTAAAACATGTATAGCCGCTCGGATATACTCTTTAAAGCAAAAAAATTAAATACAGTATAGCCGCCCGGCCATACTATTAAAAATAAAAAAATTAAAACTGTATAGCAGGCCGGCTATACTCTTTAATACAGTATAGCCGCCCGGCTATACGATTTAGATAATATTCGCATAATCTCGCATCTCTGATGCACGAATTCTCTCTAACTCATCATCCAAGGTTCTTTTTCCCAATGTGAGCGAGAGAGAGAGAGAGTCGAAAACCTCAAGATAAAAAATGAGAATCCAGATATAGATAAATTTAATCCATCCAAAGCTGCTCCATCAAACATGTAAGAGCAGCTTCCCATGCCAAATGTGTTTTTCTGACTGAATCACATCCCATTAACCCCACTGTTAACCTGTCAATATACTCTTTAAAATTAAAAAAAATAAATTAAAAAACATATAGCCAAGCGGCGATACTCTTTAAAATAAAAAATAAAAAATAAAAACAGTATAGCCGAGCTGCGATACTCGTTAAATAAATTTTTAAATGCATATCACATTCAAACACTTAAAATTCACTTTAAACTATCATTGTAAAGCCTTTGATCTGATCCATCCATGTATCAGAAGTCTAGAATGTTCCAGAAATCTCTCGATTGCATTTGTTTTCCCCTCAAAAACAAAAACAATGATAAAATGAACTAAAATTACCGAAGCTGAACTTGCAAGAGCAGGTAGATAAGATTCCTTTCAACAGGACATAAACAAATATAGAATACAATTGAAGAAAAAGCGGGAAAGGACCGGTTGGGACGCACTGGTGTGACGCAACGCAAGCCTTTCCGGTGACTCACTCGTTGCCAAAAATAAATTTTCTATGTGGTATTTGCACCCACAGGTGGTTTATGAATAAAGCTTTGATATGATCGGTTGCTACTTCTTTTGGATGAATAAAGCCTTTGATCCTGATGATCCATGTGTCAAGAGTCTAGAATGTTCCTGAAATCTCTCGTCTCTCGATCGTATTCGTTTTCGCATCAGAATCAATGGTAAAATGATGAAAAGAAAATTACTGAAGAAAAGATTCATCCAAAAAGGACAGAAACAAACATAAAATACAATGAAAACGCGGGAAAGGACTGACGGGGGACCCACAGTGAGAGATGAACTTGTATGGGAAGCTCAGAGACCTGTGGGAAAAAAAACACCAGTCAAAACCCTCCACAGTGCTTGCTTTGAGTGAGTGGGTCTTGTTTTCTTTCTATTTTTTCTTTTTCTTTTTTTGGTCAATTGGGTCTTTGTTTAGTGTTCATAAATACAGCTTCACTCTAGTGCTGCTTGCTCACAGAGCCAAAAACATTGATTGATAGGAGGAGGAGAGATGAGCAGCAGCAGCGGCACAACAGATGAAAGGGTTTCAGTGCCGATGGGCCTATTACCCGGAATTAAATTCTCTCCCACCGACAAGGAACTGCTTTCCTTTTACTTGAGGAATAAAATAGCGGGCGAGGACTCTGAATTCAGCAACATCATCCCTGAGATCAATTTGCGAGAACTCGAGCCTCGTGATCTGCCTGGTAACCCATTAATCTTTCTCACTTTTTCTTCACTACCCATTTCCTCATTTCTAATGCTACTATGTTTTTGTTTATAAAATTTTGATCTTGATCAGTTCTGTTGTTGTTATTGAGTAGCTTGGTTTCCAAATTTTGTTTTGGGAGATTCACTATTATCTGCAGTTCGATTTCAATGCTCTTGAAAAAGCCATCCCTTTTCTCATTTCTAATGTACTATTTTGTTGTGTGCATAGATTTATCATCTTGATCAGTTCTGTTCCTGTTGAGTAACTTGGTCTGTTTTGTGTTACATTTCGATTTCAATGCTCTTGAAAAAAAAATTACCAACCCTTTTCTCATTTCTAATGTACTGTTTTGTTGTATGTATAAATTTATGATTTTGTTTAGCTGTTGTGTTGTTGAGTACTTCAAAGACTTGAAGTGGGTTGGTTTCAAATTTTCTATATTTTGCTTGTTTTGCATTTCAGAGTTCTTCTTCAGCGAACCTGATTACATGTCCCCCAACGGCGATAGCTGCCACAGGACCACGAATGAGGGCTTTTATAGAAGCACAGGCAAGCCTCGTGAGATCGAGGATGAACTATCGAAAGCTGTGATTGGTGAGAAGAGATATATGCCTTTCCACGAAGGTCGTGCGCCCGAACACAAGCTGACCAAGTATGTCCTGCATCAGTTTTCTCTCACCAAAACTGAACGCGCTAAACTGGCTACTAATCGGGAGTTTGTTCTAAACCACCTAACAATTAAGAAGGGTTCAACTAAGGCGCGTAACCCTAAACCCAATTATAAGAAGCGGAAGTATGATTCAAACTGCGATAAATTAGCTGAACATGGTATTCCTGGCTACATCGCCTCCAATTATAAAGATGATCAAGCTGCTGCTGCTGCTAATATGATTCCAGAGCCCGAAGAGCATCTCGCAGACAAAGATGGTCTGTTTGGCAGTGAGAATCAAAATGAATGCGCCGAGTCAGAGTCTGCAAATGGTTCTCGTCTTATAAACAATAATGATCCGTTTCATGATGAGGTGATAATAAACCTGCCTTTTGAACAATTTTTTTTTTTCAATATGAACTTTCTATATCAGCACCAGAATCTCATCAAACCTTAACGCTTGCTTGTTATGGCTTTTAATGCAGGTTTCCTTTCAGACAGAAGGAAATCTGATATCACCCTTTCATCCATCTAGCCTACGGGATATTCCTCTGAGATCACCAGTGCACACAGGACTAGTGGGAGATGTTGTGTATGCCAATAACTCTATCCTTATTGGCATGCAATGATGAGTCGCAATCTTCAGATAATCTGGAGTTTACGATTCTTTTTCCCACAAAGTTCTTGAATAATTTCATTGGTGACCAAGATTATTATCCTCTGTAGAAACAACATGCACTATACTTTCAGTGACTCTAATCTACTAGAGCCATTGGGAGGAGTGTATGATAGCTATAGTGGAGTAAGAAGTGAGAAGAACACTGAATTACTCCATGGATCGGTAGTAGGTTTTTTCTGCGTTAGTACTGCAACATAGATAGCGAACCGCAACATTTTAGTTATAGGAGAACATCGATAGAGGCCTTGTAAACCACGAGGTCTTGGAAGGGTAGAACATAACCCTTATCTACTGGAGGATTTGGAATCTTGTTGATAGTTGTAGAAATTTATGTCGGACAGGACAAACGACAAAGGTTAAGTCTGTTCTTGTTCTTTCGGCCATTGCTCAGCATTCCCAAGTATTGGAAACTTCAAACTTGTTAAGTGAACATGAGAACCACCGGCAAGTGCTAATGTTTGAGATGCCATCTGGAACTCTACTCTTCTCTGACGAGTCTGAACCAAAAACAAAAATGTATTTTCTTAGAAGTAGTACTGTGGAGACCGCGTCTCTCCCAATTGTCTTCAAATAGTGTACTCTCTTAATCATAGGACACACCAACCTCAATATCAACTACCATCCATTCATGTCTTCACACACGGGAGGTGCTCCGAGAAGAATCCGACTGCAAAGCTGTATCACAGGACAAGGTGAGTGAATTTGACCTGAAACATGAAGAGAAAGCTCTTGTATTGAAGTTTTGAGGAGGCTATGTGCTATTTTTCACTAATGTGATTTCTGTAACTCTGTTTGCAGGTTAGGGATGCTGCAGAGTATTGTTTTGCTCTTCATCTGAAAATCAAGTCCTGGAAGCATACGGTTTGAAGCAGGCAACAATAGGGTTCTTTCATGTTCTTGGAAGCGTCTCCTTGAAACCATTAATCAAGTCCCCGATATTTTGGTAACAAGTTCTAGCTCTAGCCTTGATACCTAGGCTTCCGTTCTACCTCTGGCCTTGATACCCGGGCTTCCGTTCTACCTCTAGCCTTCATACTCAGGCTTCCGTTCTAGCTCTAGCCTTGATACCCAGGCTTCCGTTCTACCTCTAGCCTTAATACTCAGGCTCAAGCCTTAATACTCAGGCTCAAGCCTTAATACTCAGGCTTCCGTTCTAGCTCTAGCCTTGATACCCAGGCTTCCGTTCTGGCTCTGGCCTTAATACTCAGGCTTCCGTACTAGCTCTAGCCTTGATACTCAGGCTTCCATTCTAGCTCTAGCCTTAATACTCGGGCTTCCATTCTACCCCTAGCCTTAATACTCAGGCAATTGTTCTAGCTCTAGCCTTAATTCTCAAGCTTTTGTTCCCAAGTTTCTAGCTCCACCCTTGTACTCGGGCTTTCGTTCCGCAGGCTGTTATTCTTGAAGTGGCATCATACATGATCTGCTGCTACGTGGCTGCTGGAGTCTCAATATACAATACAATAACCAGACGCTAATCAGACGTCGTGGTTAATCGTATGGAAGTTTTGAGGTTCCATCCTTAATGGAGTAGTAGTTACTATCAGTGTAAAATTGTATGATTATGATTGGCTTAAAACCTTTCTGTCACCTTCAGGTTGAAACACCCAAACCCTACAATTAAAAATTGTATTCTTGTAAAGTTTGTTTTTGTAATTGGCCTGTATCAACTGCTGCGGTCCCTTTGTGTACTGTATCATCAGTGTTAATATTGTGTATTCAGAACCTTTCAGTGTTGAATGGAATTTTGTGTATTATATTTCTCTTTTTATATTTCAATCCCGCAATGTTTAATATGTCATTGTTCAGTATTAAGAAAGAATGATGGAAAAAGAACAGAAACAAATATAAATTACAATAAAGAAAACAAATAAAATCACTCCTATCAAGCCTACGTTTTTCTTCACAATAATCATTCTCTGAGAATTTGGGAATGGGTTTTGCCGAAATGGAAGAGGGGTTGGTTGAAAGCCAAGAACTTAAAATCGCAATAGCAGCAAGAGATGGTGGTAGAGAGACGAGGAGGCGATCATGGGTTTGATTTGAGTGGGAGTGAATAGGTAAAAGACTATGATGGGTTTGAGTTCGATTTTTTGTGGAAGCCATGGAAGCCACTGTGCTTGCTTGCCGATCAAGGGAAAGTCAGATTTTTTTTAGGGGGTGTAGATGTTTTGGCATTTCAGTTTTTAATTGTTTAACTTTTAAAATAATATTTTACTTTTTTTACCCCTCAATTTAACGAAATATTTGACAGTAGGATTGTTTTGATACCAAATAAAGTGTTAAAGGACTATTTAAATGAAAATTTTAGCTGGTAAACCAAAATCATAGTGAATCACTAGTTGGGGGACTATTTCGATCAAAAACCCGAAAGTAAATTTAGAACTCCAAAAAATGTTCTTCAAAAACCCGAACACTCATTTTAAGCAGAAAAAAAAATATATATAACAAAGCAGAAATTTTCAAATAAGAAAGTAGGCACTGAAAAAAGAAAGAAAATTCAACTTAATTAATGGATTAACGACAAATGCAAATTACCATATAGACAAGACAAGGGTAAAAACTTGTAAGAACTACAAAAATGATTGCCAATTTGAAATCTAAACCTAACTTCTTGGGTGAGTAAAGCCTTTGATCTGATCCACGTATCTGAAGTCTAGAATGTTCCCCGAAGGGAAGAAAATTACCAATCTCTCTGAACTTCCAAGAGCAGGTCCATTATATTCCTTCAATAGGACATAAACAAATACCAAATACAATAAAAAAAAGGAGGGAAAGTACTGGATGGGACCGACTGGTATGTCGCAAGCCATGCCACGTCACTCACTCATATTTCTTTGAGTGGGAGTGAATAAGTAAAAGACTGATGGGTTTGAGTTAGATTTTTTGTGGAAGCCATGGAAGTCACTGTGCTTGCTTGCTGAGGAAGGGAAAGTCAGATTTTTTTTGGGGGGGTGGGGGTTTAGATGTTTTGGCATTTCAGTTTTTAATTGTTTAATTTTTTAAATAATATTTTACTTTTTTTATCCCTCAATTTAACGAAATATTTGATGATAGGACCGTTTTGATACCAAATAAAGAGTTGAAGGACTATTTAAATGAAAATTTTAGCTGATAGACTAAAATGATAATGAATCACTAGTTGGGGGCCTATTTCGGTCAAAAACCCGAAAGTAAATTTAGAACTCCAAAAAATGTTCTTCAAAAACCCGAACACTCATTTTAAGCAGAAAAATATATATATATATATAACAGAGCAGAAATTTTCAAATAAGAAAGTAGGCACTTAAAGAAGAAAGAAAATTCAACTTAATTAATGGATTAACGACAAATGCAAATAACTATATAGACAAGACAAGAGTAAAAACTTGTAAGAACTACAAAAATGAATGCCAATTATGAAACTAAACCTGTTTTATAATTTAAATAGATTCTTAAGATCCCAAATAATACTTTGGATAAAGCTTTGATCGAGAGCCCAAAAGTGCTTACTCAACTTCTTGGGTGAGTAAAGCCTTTGATCTGATCCACGTATCTGAAGTCTAGAATGTTCCCCGAAGGGAAGAAAATTACCAATCTCTCTGAACTTCCAAGAGCAGGTCCATTATATTCCTTCAATAGGACATAAACAAATACCAAATACAATAAAAAAAAGGAGGGAAAGTACTGGATGGGACCAACTGGTATGTCGCAAGCCATGCCACGTCACTCACTCATATGAACTTGTTTGAGACGCTCAGCTCGAAATTAGTCTTTTTGATATTTTTATCAAATTACAATCGGTGGCCTATAATTACAACTCACTCTGGTGCCTTGCTTTCTCACTTTAGTCTCCTTCTTTCTGGGGCTCTCGCAGAGCTTTCTTCCATTTCTGCCATGGCTGCCACCACTGGATCTTCTTCAAGCTCTGCCGCCTCTGCTGATGACCCAGCTCTTGCTCTGCCGTCTGTCCTCAATGTGAAATTGGATCCTACCAATTACCCCATTTGGCTGGCGCAGATCATTCCTCTGCTCAGGAGCCGCCGCCTGATCTCTTTCGTCGACGGCACCAGCATTTGTCCGCCTGCGTTTCTTCTCCGTT